TGTCACTGACAGACTAGTTAAATCTTTTGTCTGTTCAATGGCAGTAACAAGAGGATCATACTTATCAGGAAGACTAATAAGTATTTTTTCTACAATTCTTGAGTCATTAATATTTTCTCCATAGGCTCTCAATTGATTAATTATTATTTTTATTTTAGCATAATAGTCTTGTGTAGTCTCAGAATCCTTCATTTTAATATTTTCAACCTCTCTTCTCAAAGTTTGTAGTTTAACTGCACGTACCTTGGCATTGCCTTGAAATTCCTCCTTTAAGGTATTCCATGCTTCCCTTGCAGTTGTGGCTCCCATGATTCTTGGAAAAATCGTATCATGCAAGGCTTGTTGCAGGGCATATAAGGCCTTTGCATCTTTTTGTTGATCTTTCTTCAGTTGCCTCAACTGTTCTACAGTTGGGTGCCCTTTTGCATCTTTTTGTTTATCTTTCTTCAGTTGCCTCAACTGTTCTACAGTTGGGTTTTCTGGATTATTGAAGCCACTATCAACTATGTCCCATAAATCTTGAGACATAAAATAGGTCTTCATTTTAATACTCCAGAAGTCGTAGTTTTCTCCCATGAAAATAGGAAGAGGGTCAGAGCTTTGGCTAGTGGTAGACATGATGGAGGAGTAGTGAGCCAACGCCCAAGGTTGATCAGAACAAGCTCTGATACCACTGTTAGTTTTAGGGAGAAGAGAGGTTTAGGAAAATGGTTGATATTGTTTAGGACAATAGCTTGATAATGAATAGAAAACTTTTTTAAAGAGTAACAAGATAATCTTATTTTATTGATTGAAATAAGAAGGGTACAAGGGCTTTAGAGTTGATTGGATACAAGAGGTGACTGATGTGAGTTTAGACAGCTGGTGGTTTTTCAGCTTTCTTAACTTGAGGGGGGTGTAATAGCTATATATAGAGTTGCTGAACCGACTATCTAAGTTGGCTTTTTGCTTAGTTAAGTCGGTTTGCACATAAACCGACTTTGTCTAAGTAACTTCAGCCACTAGTTATAACATGAGCCTAGAATAGTCTAGTTACAATACATTATAGAATTAATAAGATGTTTCTAGTGTAGAGCTCAAATTTGATTTGTCATCTTTTCTCAATTTTTCTAGAATTTTCTATATTATTCTAGTACAAGTGTGCATTATTTTTTAACAAATTCCTTCTCTTAAATACCCTTTATACACAAACCCAAAGCCCCCACTTCCAATCAAGTTTTCCTGGTTGAAATTACCAGTTGCCACACGTAGCTCTTCATATGTGACCATTTGATGCTTCCCATTTAATAAGTCAGAAGAAGTAGTTTCTCTACTTGTTGCTTCGTAGCCGGAGCCTTTGTGTTTCTTAACATAAAGCAAACAACCAACCACAGTACATACTGCTAGTGTAACCAAAGCAGCAGCAATGATGAGTACTAGGACCAGTACTTTTCTCCTCTGATTGCCACTCTTCCCACATGGTAAGTGCCGGCAAAGTTTTGGGTTGCCTTCTAGATGGACATTAGAGGTATTTTTAACAAATACTCCGCCATTGGGAATTACTCCTTCCAAGTGATTAAAGGAGAGGTTCAAGTAGCTAAGGGCACGTAGCTCTTTAAGTTCATCAGGAATGGACCCAGAGAGCTGGTTTGAGGAGAGGTCTAGAATCTCAAGACCTCTCATTTCTGCCAGGGCATTTGGAAGAGAACCAGAGAGTGTATTTCTGGCCATGAACAACTCCTCCAAGCTTGTACATTTTTCAAATGAGCTGGGAATGGATCCAGATAAGGCATTGTCAGAGAGGTCTACAGTGACAACATTTTGTAGTAAACCAATTTCAGGCAAAGGTCCACTTAGAAAGTTGTTAGACAAATTCAGAATGGTGCTCAAACTAGAGAGGTTTAGAATTTCTCTTGGAATTGTTCCATTGAGCAAATTGTTTGATAAGTCCATGGAAAGCAATCTCTCAATGCTTGCAAAAGTAGGGGGTACATGGCCAACAAAGTAATTTCCAGATAAATCAATGTGGTTCAACTTTCTGAGATTACCTAGGGAGTTCGGTATTGGGCCAGACATCTTGTTTCTTGCTAAACCAAGCATTTGCAGCTCTTTCAAGCAATATTGGTCACACACTTCCAAATCTTCTACACTTCAGAAATTGTTTTAATCTATTTACCGGAAATATTCCAGTGTCTCACCCCACAGTTGATTTGAAGCTACAGTGAACAGAACTAGAGAAGAGATGTTGTATATGGACAGGGAAACAGTCCCATTGAGTTGGTTAACGGAGAGATCAAGTTCCTTGAGTTTATAAAGGAAACCCAATTCACTGGGTATTGTACCACTGAGACTATTTGTGCCTAAATTTAAATGTGTGAGGGTGGAAGAGAGGTTGCTTATGGATGATGGGATTGGACCATGGAGATTGTTTCGTGCTAAATTCAAGACTTGAAGTTTTGTCAACTTACCAACATGGGAGTTTATGGTCCCTGCAAGTTCCAAGCCTGAAAGATTAAGAGAAACAACTCTCTGAGTCTGCCCAATTTGGTTGCATGCAACACCAGTCCAGTTGGAGCAGGGGGATGAGTTTTGGTCCCAGAAAGATGGAGGGAGATTGACCCCCGACTTGAATAAGATCAAGGCCTCCTTGTCTGTGGAAATATTGCTTGCAGTGGCTGAGTCTACAGTCGGAAAAATATTTACAATAACACATAATATTATGGCAAACGTATGAGGCAATAGATGGAAGTGGGAATTCATAGCTATCTCTTGGGGTTTCTTGTTGAACTTCAATTTTGCAGGTACATATGTTGCATGCTCCTCGTCAAATTTGGAGTGCTGCGGACCATTATTGGACTTAAATTTTGCTTTCAGTGAATTGGTCAGATCAGGTGTCTAGTGGGATTCTTTCAATTTCCTGATTTGTTGACTATTCTGACCTGGATTTCATTTCTAATCACCCATCAATGATATGAATATATTTGTTCATAATAATGTGCTAGGCTTCCACATGATTTGATGCGTGCCATAGATCTCAAAGTTGATCAACAAGTATTAGGGGTACCAAAAACGAGTGAAGCATATATTGGTGTACAAAAGGCAGGGGAGCATGTACTCACAACCTCTTATTTGATCGACAAGCATACGAAGTTTGACACTAATTTGATATGTTATTTTCTTGTTTAACAGTCATGTCATATTCGTGTTTATGTCAAACAAAACATAATCCGAACTTGTTAATTTCATGTCAATTTAAATTTAGAGAGACCGTACTAAATATATTAAGCTTAATAAACATTTTATTCTTGAGGATAATTTATATTGATTGAACTATTAACATATTCAGTATTTTTTAATTAATTAATTATTATAAATATGTTTATTCATAGAAGAGAAAATGAATAAAAAAGAAAATAAGATAGATCAAGACTTTGAACTCACCCAATCAAAAATCCTTTAATTCTTAAATCAAAAGAGAATATAACTGAAAATTGGTGTGGTTTCCATTCAAAAGCTTATCCATAATCATATCATTACTTCAGTTGAGCAGAGGAGCGGTCAATTGATGCTATACAGTTCGTTGCTCTCTAGAAGGGCAATGACATTGCCGACAGCTTCTGCCTCTATTGGGCTACTGTGAGTATGGGCTGCAGTGCAGGATGTGGGATAGGTCCTCCGACTATTTTAAGCCCAAAACGAGAATATAGTTCCAGAGATCAAAATTAAATAAAACTCATCTGAATTCTCATCTATGTTTATTGCCTTTATTGTTTGAAAAAGAAAAAGGAAAAAAGGTGCAGGAGTTTTATTGAAATTTGAATGCCTAGCCTCAATTGAATAGCCAGCTACAGTATATCAAAGAGTAATGCTATACTTATCACATTTTTGTCCCATATGTTTATATTACATGATGTGACATGTTCATATCATATGCTGCACGTAAACTCTTCAACAGCAGCGGTAAGAATTTTATTTGCAAAACTGGCAAACTTTTAAACGTGTTTTTATTGGTCAAACGCCTTAGGGAGGCACACATTATATAAACCTTCTATTAGAGCAACAACATTCGAACAATTTTCTCACTCCTCTACATTGTGGTACTCCTCCTTCGCATTGTTCTTTCATTTTTTAGTTCATTTCTCAAGGGAAAATTCAAGTTGTTCATCTAAACCAAATGTTGTGAGTGTTTACTAAGATATTGTCTATGACGGGTGAAATCTACTTTTAAGAATAGTAATCACACACCTCAACCTAAAACAATTATTGTAATGAAGCTTCCATGAAGACCGACTTCTACATTGAAAAAGATAAGATATTGTATGAAAGTATGATTTATCTTTTTATTTTTTATAATTGAATGATTTTTTATTGGGTGAGTTCAAATCGAATAAATTTTTTTGGTCTATCTTATTTTCTTTTTATTCATTTTTCTCTTCTACAAATAATAACATATTTATAATAATTAAATAATAAAAAACTGATTTTATAAATAATCCAATAAAAGTAAATAAAATGCAATTATTATGATGAACAAAAACTCTACTAAAATGACCTGACAATGACAAAACTCAGTTGTTTATGTTGCTCATTATCTTCCTCTTTCGTTTTCTTCTCCTCACTTTTATTTTGGTTCACCCATGTAAATTATATCTTGAGGTATATATATGAGTGAGAGCAAAAGATTCATCCTATTTCTCCATCAATTTAATTACCTTCCCATATAGGCAGCTAGTTAGGTTTCCCAAAATAGCAAAATAGAAAATGAAAGGTGCAAAATCTATAAAAATAAAATTGTAAAAGCTACTTTAGGAATAGATTAAAAGAATAGGGAGAGTAAAGCTTCAAATCAAGAGGATTGAAAATACGACTAAGAGAGTTGTTTCTCTTCATCTTTCAAGCTTTGCAAGGTCCACTTGAATTTGGCATGAATATGAGGGTTTATGTCAGACTGCCAATATGAGGATTTATGAATCATGTAAGACCCAAATTTGAAAGATGAAGAGAAACAACTCTTTGAGTCATATTGTCAATCATAAGAGTCTCATATATACATATGAAGCTAAGTATATTGAGTATATTGAGCATAACATACATTTTGTTCATAAGAATAATTGTATTTTATTTATTTTGATTGAGTTATTAATAAATTGATTTTTTATTTAATTATTATAAATATGTTATTATTCATAGAAGATAAAAATGAATAGAAAGAAAATAAGATAGACAATTTTTTTTTTTAATTTTTTTTATTTGAACTCACCCAATAAAAAGTCATTCACAAATAATAAAAAATAGAATAAATCATACTTTCATACAAATATCTTATCTTTTTCAATGTAGAAGTCGGTCTAAATTATTATATATGGATGGTTTGAAAAACTGTTGTATAGAGGATTTCTCATTATTGATTAATTTGATTTTATGTTTAACTGTCATTGTCAACCACTGTTATAAAACAAGATTGTCAAGATATAATGTTGAATAATAAAGTTTAATTCGAAAGAAATTAACGTGGCAAAAAAATAAAAATAAAAAATCGTATAAAAGAAATTGTATGGATAAATCGAAAGAGAAAACAAGGATGGTGAGCTAATGCATGATATATGATTTATCAAGCATTACCAGAAGGGACAAGGGGATTGAGGGAGGGTCCCACGTAGCACATAGAGTGAGCTTGCGGTGTTCGATTTCTGCGTCAACAACGAGGAGGATTTTCTATCACATATACATGCGAAGTCGCAAATTAGGCCCTTCTTATTTTCTTTCTGAATTGTAAGGGTTTGGGGAAGTTTTGATCAGAGTTGCCATATCAATTACAATGAAGCTTTTGTTTTCCTTGATGCCTTCCCTTCTGTTGATTCTCTTGCGGCTGCTGGTTTTATCATGGTTTCTGAATTTCTAAAATACGGAATTTGTTTTTGCTTCCATTTTTGTCTCTAAGGCTGCTGATGTCGGTACATAATTCACTGCTTGTCAGCATAGTAAGGCATGAAGGAAAAAGTGAAGTAACATATAGTGTTTACATGCATACTGTCATGTTTGATGTTGATCATAATGCAGATGATTGGGTGTGAAGATGGTTGGTGGATTGAACTGATCTGACGACATACATATTTCCTGGAGTGCTCTCCTCCTCTCGGATGCGAAGGAGGAAACAGTTCATTGCCTGGAAATAAATATACATATATCTAATTAATCAACCATGGTTTACTCTTACTTTAATAATAAAAATACAGCACTGACACATGCATGCGTTTTTGTCCTTGTATGACTAAATTTGGATGGACTATGTCTATCTTTTTCCTCCTCATGAGTTGCAACTTGCTGGAAAATTAATTTTTTTTTAAAGGAACATTATTATATGTAAAACAAGTACCTGTCGGGTAGAACTCATTCCACGAGGACAGGTTGATATCCATAACTTGTCCCAGCTCTTGATTTTGCGAAATAGTGTCGTTATTCTCATCGTCTAACTCTAAATCACTGCCTGAGTTCATTTTTTTTTTTTTTTTTTTGGTCGAAGGAAATGATATTCCATTAACTTAGCAAATTACAAACAGGCCCAATACAACAAACAGAAAAAAAAACAAAAGCACAAACAAACAAAATAAAAGCCCAACCATAATATACAGACTTGAGGCCCAACACAACAAAAAACCCTAAGACATACACAACCCTAAAATCACACCCAAGAACTAAGCAGCCGCCACTGCTGCCACCCGATCTGCCGTCGCTGCCAGTGGAGGAAGGTCCATGAGAACCGACAAAGGAGATCTGAAGAGCGTGGATTCGGGGAAGCGAGCCACCACCGTGCATCAAGCTCAAGCGATCTGTGGATTGGTCAAAATTGACCATTAAACTACAGAGCCAACGCCTCCAGAGCAAAAGCTCTGATTTGAGGATGGAGTGTAGGAGATGAACAGCAACAACAAACCAGAAGACAACCAAGCAGAACCTAGGAAAAGGGAAGGGGTTTAGAGTTAAAGAGTTCATGGAAGAGGAAGAGAAGTGGGCTGAAGGGGGGTGGGTGGATGAGAGGAGAACAGGGAGAGAGAGGTGCAATGGCTGTATAGGAGTGGGAGAGGAGAGATTGAGGAGATCTGGGCCAACATCAAGAAAAACAAAGGAGAAAAAACACACCAAACTAAACAAAAGCAAAGAAAGGTAAACACAATGGCTGCCTGAGTTCATATGATCTTCAAGATTTATGCCATGAAGGAGCGTTGACTGTGGTGCTGCTTTGACTTCAATTCTACTTCGCGCCTCATCTCTGAATTCCCACAAAATTAAATATTAAAATTCGATTTAAAAGAAGAAATTGATTCATTTCCATGCTAATTAATTAACTTGGGGGAAGAAGGCCATTTGCATTCAAAAAGTTGAGGCTCTCACTACTACGTTTCACTATTTGCGCGACGAAATATTGCGCGACGAAGAACAACTCGTCGCGCAAACCATACTTGCGCGACAAAAATAACTATTCGTCGCGCAATCCACTGAAAATTTGCGCCACCAAACTTTTTTGTCGTGCAAAATGTATATGCACGACAAAACAATTTTTCGTCTCGCAAACAGAGTTAAAAAAAGCGGGGGGAATTTTTTTAGCGCGAAACATTTGCGCGACGAGAAATATCGTCGCTAAAGGCAACATTGCGCGACGAACAAATTCTCCGTCCCGCAAAAAGTACAGTCCCCTCATTTAGCGCGACGGAAAGACGTTTCGTCGCGTAAGAGAACAAGAGATATTTTATTTTTTGGCGCCAAAAATGACCTGGGTGGGAT